CGCTCAGCTGCACTCTGACAACCGGAGGCAATGCGAAGACACCCAAGCTCCCGCTGCTGCTGGAGTTCAGCTCGCTATTTGTTGAATATTTTAGAGGGCTGCATGGCAAGAGGGAAGCAATGAAAACTTCACTCTAGAGTGAATTAAGTAGACTCTGACAGAAGTCAGATCAAACCGGCCAGTAACACAAGAAAATGAAGGTCCTTCCCGTTGACTTAGCTCTCACGACTTATTAGGTTGTTCCCATGGGGGTCGAAACACACAGCAAAGGCCAAAATTAGCCTAGATAAATTGAAACTGAACTTTAGCAGTACCCGACATGCTTGGAGAAAAAAAAATCTAATCATGGTCATTCTGTGTTGAAGTAACTTAGTGACTAATCAGCAGCTGCTAAAAAGTCATTCTGCTTCAAAGGGAAGGCTCTCTAAGAGGTTTGACAGTTCATTTAGGGTCACTTTTAACCTGTAAATGACATAATAAAAAAGAAGAAAATTACTTAAGGTGGATTTTTTGTGTGTTCAAAATAAAAATAAGACAACTATACTGTTTATTTTATACAGTTTGATTAAGGAAATATATTAGCTTTAAAACAATCTGGCTGCCATGTAAGAAGGAATGAATTAAAATCTGATTCTGGCATTTATAGATATTTTACTCCACTGCATAACAATCCTCTGCTGCTGCTTCTGCTTACTCACATATGAGCCAACACTGTTTACAAGGAAAAGCAAACACTCTTCTTGTGCTGCAGGAAAGCTACAAGTAATTTCATTCTGCAAAACAGATTCAGTCTGGCAGGATTTTCAAATTCATTTCATCATCCTACCAATCCAGCTGCCCTGCACTGCAAATACACACTGTGTTTGGTGCTTTATTTCTAATTTTAATAGCCTGGAGCCTTTTGTAGGACATGTCAAAACAAGTACAGAAAAAAAAGTATAGAAAATGTGAACACTAGTGTTGTTTCTGCATTTCACAGCCATACAGCTACAGTCGCCTACACCAGTAAATTATTTTGAGACAGAACTAGATGATCCTGGTATCAAATTTAGGTAAAAAGGACACCTGTCATACGTTCTCACTTGTTCTGAGTAGCCATCTATCCTTCGTGGTGATACAGCCAGAGGGTACCACATGTTACAGACAAGAAACTGGTACAGTTTTCTGACACTGGGGTATAGCCCATGACACCAATGTGCAAACTCTAGCCCACCCGTAAAGGTCAAAGATTTTTATAGTATCAAACTATAGATCAAGGGTCATTTATATACAAAATAAATTTGATTCTGAGGAGATAAGATGGGAGCTTTGAATGACTCTATATCGAATGACACATTTATTGTGTCATAATTTAAAAACAATGAGTTGATGATGCAGTTAATATTAAAAAGACTGTTTAGGAGAAACGGTTATTTTATTCCTTACTGTACAGAAGTGCAAGAGATAATGACAAAGGATTCAGTTCAGTGTAGATGTATAAATAAAAGTATAAACAATATATTGTTGTTGCATTTAATTTCTTTTATAAAGTGTTAATTTTAAGTGAAAAAAAAACCCAGCAGCTAATATTCAAGAATCTAAGTGTATCAGCATTTTGTAGAAGGACCCAGGATCGAGCCCTGAGGAACACCAAATGTTTGCGCAGTTGCACTAAAAACACACAGTTTCACCTTACAGAAACTGATTTTAAGAACTTACCACGAAGTCTTGTGATTTCCTCTCTGGTTTTCATCTGAAAGAAAAGTTGGACAGGTCCTCCTCTTTCTGACTGGTGGTATCAGGAAATCCTAGCTAATAGGTTTTCATGATGTAAGACAAAACAATCCTATTTTATTGTTTTAACCAATGTTAAAATATTTCAAGTCATGAAATGTGGATTTGCCTCCGTTTGCATTACCAGGCGCAAATTTCACATCAGCAAATGTGTACTTCCAGTCTGAGGTGCTAGAGTGGCTTATTCATACACAAGGTTTCCTCCAGAGGCGGAGCTTGACACACCTGATTATGGCATTATTGAGACATCTGTCACTCCTGACTTAGACTGAAGAGAAAACAAAAGAAAACCCAATTTAGGAAGTATAAAGTTACCACCTGCACGTTATGCCTGGTCTTCTGGCTCCAATGGACTCACAATCAAACAGAACTTTAATCTGCAAAAACATGTACAATTGGACTAGCTACATTGTTGAACCAAGAATACAACAGCACAGGTGTTAATCTTGAGAGTTTTTAGCAGGTAAATCACACTGAAAAAAAGAGAAGTATTTTTGTAGTGGTGAGAATAATATCCCCTATTCTCCTGAGTGAAATAGGGGACATCAGTATAGTTCTGAGGTATTCAGGTGGTTCATTTTCACCTGCAGGAGTTTCTGTAGGCTCTCGTAATATGCTTTTTTTTTCCATGGAGGAAATTAATTGGTGAAAACTGTAAACAGCTTTTTAAACTCCCCACATAAATGTCCCACAGAAAAGAAGCAGAAAGAAAGTCTGTCAACCATCCAAGAATTACAAATGCTGCAAATGACAAAGTCAGAGAGAATGATTCAGAGCTTCGACAGCCTGAAAGAGGAGAGTCTGTGCCGCGCAAGAGGTTTTTATCTATGCATTAGCGGGTCGTTATCATTCCGTGGGTTTGAAATAATGTTGTTTTGTCAAAGCTGCTGGAGAGTCTCAGTTACGCACACCATGTACTTTGGAGGTGGTGCATGACACACAGGGTTATGGTATTACTGATATGAGGCTGTCACTCACAACTTCTCATTTTCCAATGCAAAGGTGGCGTGTTTTTCACCAGACCAGCGGGTTTTCCTAAAACCAGATTTGGCAAGGTAAGAACATTTTGACACACCTTTAGGTGGATGAAGTCCATCATCTCCTGACTGATGACACCTGATGAAGAGAAATGTCTTGGATTAATGGTCCTCAGAAATTTCCCCAAATGTTTCCCCAACGTTCATTAATGTTTTTCCCCTCTTTTCTGGGAAATCTGAGGTATTTTTTCATCAGGGTGGCCCTTTATTCAGGTAATAATAAAGATGGGGTTCCAGCAGTCCTAAATAGACCACGAAAGTCCCCAGAAATATGAAGCTGAGATCCATTTATCGGGTCTAAATTAGATTCAGGTGCAGAGTGGAATTAAGATGAATGAAAACATTCAGCTGGCTTTTCGAATCAATCATCTACTTGCAGGTCTTACTTGAAAAGTTCCGGACTGGAGATGCGGTCTCCGGGTGGGGGAAGCTTTTTAACAAACATGCACTCAGCCGCTGTGGCGGTGGGACTGGCATCACAAGCAACACTTCCTGCTGACTGTGTTATTGACAGTATGCATCCATTACTGGTTGTGCTCCTGATAAATGAGTGTCATTAATGAGGAGTGGACAGCACCTGGTACTGATGGTCACAATCAGCCTCTGGAAAGACTGAGAGCTAGCCAGCAGGAAGCCCTGGAGGACAGATGCTGGCTGTCAAATTAGCCTAAATTAAAGATAAAATCATCCATTTACCAGAGAGGATGGATTCAGACGTGTAAATCAGATTCAGAGGCACAAAGCTTCAGCTATTTTCCTTTTTTTTAAATTCTAACACAGATTTAACACGGAAAACCTCTTGTGTTTTTGTATGTACATGAACAAATATGATCTGCAATTGTTAACATTTAATCAAAGGACCTCTGTGTAACCTTAGTAAACTGCTGATGCTATAGACACCTCCAGCAGGTTATCATTCTGTTCATGTGAAAGCTAGCATTGGCCAAAACCGTGATAAACCTGTCCTGCTGTGCTTTGTTGTTATTTAAAGCACTTTGGTATTAGCTTTATTTTTAGATAGAAGAAGCTACATACATCCTTTGTACTGGTTATTTAATTACTTTTACTTAACACTGCTAACGTTAGCTAGTTGGCTCTAATTTAGGTTACTCTGAAAGAATGCACCAACTTTAGCTTATTGGAAAATTGACAGATAAGATTCCAGATCATTAGATGAATACCATGTTTTGCTATGTCAGTAGACACGCTGTTAGCTAACAATTGGCAGAAGGAAGACTGATGTCCTGCTGTGGAGGTCGTGTTGGTGCTTATGTTAGGCTCTACGATGGAGCTTATGATGAATCGGTGTTTGGAGTCTGACTCTGTGTTTATACTGTTGGTCATTTGATCACGAGTTCTAAGCTAACATAGTTAATATGGCTGCCTTTTAATCCAAGAGCAGAAGAGAGGCAGTGGGGCGTTCAGGAGAGAGCATTGATTTTGTCGCTCCACCGAAAGGTTTGAAGCAAGCAAGAGAGCTAGAGAAGATCTCATTTTTTAAATTAAGTTACAATAAACTCACACATTGGCAATAAAATGTTTAATACATGAAAAAAAGGTAGCAAAAGGTGAGCCATTTCTAAAATGAGCCACTGAGATGACAAAACTATGACAGTGAAAATGAGATTTCCTTTCCCAACATGACTCGGTCACATCATGATAAACAAAAGAAATGAGAAATGTGAGCACTTTCCCTGGCTGGTATTTGCTCGACAGTGTGTGCGTTACTAAGAAAAGCTTTATATACTGAGATTGATTGACATCATCTCTTCCCCCTGTGTATTTCCACTGATAAGCTGAGACACAAACTGAACGTGACCGGGGTGGAAATTGTGCTGCAATATTCCAGTGATGCAAAAACCTGTAAAATTAAGATGAATGAGCAGAGTCATCCTGAATTTACAGCTTGCTAAAGCACATTACATTCATCAGCCTGACTGTGTTCCCACAGAGCAACCATGGGAATAAGCGGAGGCAGTCACTGTTTGCACTGACTTGACAGCAGGTTATTAGGGGGAAACAGAAGGCTACAGGGACACTAGCGGATATGGATACAGCTGAACACGTCTGCTGGACTTAAAGACACTTTCTGTTATTACAACAGGGTGCAGCGGTTTACACATAGTAAGAAGTTGCAGTGAGTAGCTGGTTCCCCAGTGGTTGAACGCTCTGAGCGACTATTTTCGACTCCAAGACACAAGGTGGGAGCCAACCAATCTCTAACCTTTTTTCCTATTGTGGCCTGCTTTGGACTGACTGCAGTCACTCTCTCAATGTTTTTAGATTACTGCTGTTTTTCTGCAATAAGGGATTCGACTCGCCTGCTCACCATTGGGCTGGAGTCTCCTTATATAAAAGCGAGGTTGCCAAGTTTGCTGTAACACAAAAATTTGTGGACGAATTTCTGAACATCTGTTTCACATTTAGGAAGCTCGGGCTGGATTTTGAACCAAAGTGGTTAATAGGAATTTCTGTGCATCTAGACAACAACAAATTTGTGATTGTCACCAACTTCTCACATTTAATTCACTTTTTATCACAAATCGATTGCATGTGATTCTAACCTGACTCCATTCAATTGTAAATTTATTACTATTTTATCAAAGTCTTAACACATCAGATTTCTCAATAACTTTATCTCTGACCTGTCTGGTGTCTAAATCCAATTGAGAATCTGTGGCAAGATCTGAAAACTGCTGTTCACAAATGCTGTCCATCTAATCTGACTGAGCTGGAGCTGTTTTGCAAAGAAGAATGGGCAAGGATTTCAGTCTGTAGATGTGCAAAGCTGGTAGAGACATACCCTAAAAGACTGGCAGCTGTAATTGCAGCAAAAGGTGGTTCTACAAAGTATTTACTCAGGGGGCTGAATAATTACGCACACCCCACTTTGCAGTTATTTATTTGTAAAAAATGTTTGGAATCATGTATGATCTTTGTTCCACTTCTCACGTGTACACCACTTTGTGTTGGTCTTTCACGTGGAATTCCAATAAAATTGATTCATGTTTATAATAATAACATTGCATTTATATAGCGCTTTTCGGGGCCCTGTACAATTCCACTATTCATTCACTCTCACATTCACACACTGGTGGAGGCAAGCTACAGCTGTGGCCACAGCTGCCCTGGGGCAGACTGATAGATGCGAGGCTGCCATATTGCACCATCGGCCCCTCTGGCCATCACTAGTAGGTGGTAGGTGAAGTGTCTTGCCCAAGGACACAACGACCAAGACTGTCTGAGCCGGGGCTCGAACTGGCAACCTTCCAGTTACAAGACGAACTGCCAACTCTTTGAGCCATGATCGCCTACATGTTTGTGGCTGTAATGTGACAAAATGTGGGAAAGTTCAAGGGGGGCCGAATACTTTTGCAAGCCACTGTATATATAAAATGTATTGAACTGTACTCTGTTAGTGAAACATTACACAGGGACCAAGATAAATAACACAAAAAGTATTTAATCAACGTATTCAGATTTCAGCTCAGTGTAAAAGTCTTTACTGCTCTTACTTCCATACACGTTAGTTTCATTTCTCAATGTCAGTGTGCATTCTCAAACAGAGCAGATAAGATTCAGGTGATTTAATGAAAACAAAATGCTATGTTGCAAGAAGGAAAGTAAAAGGTTAAAAAACAAGTGACAAACCTGACAGAACAACAGTGAACGTTAGTGCATGTGAGAAGCAGGTGATGAGTTCTAGTCTTTGGAGCTTCCAAACCAGGGGTGTCAAACATAAGGGCTAGGGGCCATCATTGTTCCGACAATCTGGCCCTCTGGACAGTTTTGGAAAATGTGAAGGAGGGCATAGATCTGAGACTTCATAGGTTTTCCTTACTGATAAAGACCCTTCCTATGGACATTCATACTACAAAGAAAGTAAATGAGTAATAGATAAACAAATGACAGAAAGTTCTTGTTTTTCCACTATCCACAACAGAAATGTATGACTCTTGCAATGGATTCACTGTAGGAAATTTAAATTAAAGTGTAAACATACACGGCAGACCCAGTGGCATTTTGATGCTTTTTATTAATGCTTTGACGGTTGCTGTCCACAATACTCACAGAGCTGCAGCTCTCCCGCTGCCGACTCAACATTATCACAACAACAAGGCCAACCACAGGACCCAGTACAATATTTAATTCGGCGGGACGTGATTGCGGATGCCGTGCAGGTGCGTCCGCCTCCTCTGCACGGCACCGCAGGCCACGATGGGCAAAGACAAACGGCATCATACGATGGGAAGAAGAAGAACAGACCAAACCTCAGCCAGAAGAACACCTTACATGACCCCTCCACAACATGAGGTCATTCATTAATAATATGCTGCTGCATGGTTTGGATAACTGGCTGTGAAAAAGTCCTGATCCTGAGCTTCATGTCCACACGGAAAGAGCGTTACTTTTCCAAGTCTTCAAATATCTGGTGTCCAGGCCACTGTGTGCCCAATTTTTAATGTTTATAAATCATAAATCAATGTAAGAAAGCAAGCACTTTGTTTTTTACCAGATAAATCACATTTATCTGTCTTCTCACGCAGAGAGAGACATCAGTTCAACGAGCACCTTCCAGCCCAGTTATTAATATCCTTTCAAGGTCCCAATTTGGTGTGCCAATTACTCTCTGGTAATAAAATGATTCGCTGCAGTTACAGTTGATTTCTGAATCATCTGTCATATAAAGCCACAGACTGAGCATCTGGAAGTTCAATCAGCTCCCGGATCAGTCAAGGTCACAACAACTCAAGAAGTCATCTTTATCAGTCTAAATGGATCAACCCCCCAGCCCCAGCCCTCACGGATATAAAGAAAAAGTCTTTATACCTACCATTTGACTCCCTTTAAACCTCCTTTGAATCCAAAATGTGCCAACACATAAAGGCTTAATCCTCTTCTCTTGCTCAGAGGATTCGGATGCATGTTTCTTTGAATCAGTTCTCTCACAAATTCAATTCTCTCTGTATTTATGGTGATCCTCATGTTAGCCTCCATGCTGTCTTTTCTCTCTTCACTTGTTCTGCTGCTTAACTCCATTTTTGTCATCCTTTCAAATACAGATTTGATGAAGCATGTGCTGAATTTAATAAACCTGTAGAAAGCTAAGAAACCTCCAACTTCACATTTCTGACCTTTACACCACTAGATGGTTTTAAGTATTTTCCTTACCTATAACAGCAGTGACAGAACATATGGAAAATTAGCTTCAGATCAATCAGGGTTGGGTAGTTTGAAGAAGTCAGAGCTCATAAATCATCCAATCCCAATGGGAGAGTGTGGATAAAGCTTAGTGATGCATTATTTACACAACCTGCTCACAGTTTCTGCGGGGCTTTCCACACTAAGCCGTCTCACAGCCTCACTGATTTATGCTCTTGCACCCGAACTTCAAGCTCTCTGTGCTTTTCATCATCCCTTCAGTATTTCACGGTCAGCCCGTCCAGCAACTGCCACAAACTAGATTCATCTCCGTCACAACAACTCACAAATAAATAAGCATAAACACACTTGAGGGTGCAGCTTTTCGACCCAACAAACGCCATGAAATTACCAAAAACTTGCCTCTAATGGTTTTCACTTCTCCACACCGAAGAGGATACCCCATACAACTTCAGCAGTACAAACTTAAATCAAGCCTTGTGAGGCTGCAATGCATCTCTTTGAGTCTTCAGTTTGGAGTCTTCATTATGGTTATAGGGTTGCACTGCCTCCCCCACTGCTCAGTGCAAATCACAGGGTTTAACGTCCCTTATTTTCCCTCAGTACATCACTGTAAATAATAATAATAATAATAATATTACAGGCAGTCAAAGTTGTTGAATTAATGATAAGTGAAAAACAATACATCATTTATATTCCTCAGAGAGGTTTGGTCTGCTGCCTAAAGTACCACTGCTCCTTCAGAGGAAGTATAAGAAAACATTTCTTCTGCCACGCACGAAAACTAAACATATTTACTGCTGTAACCAGACTATATTTCCCACTCACACACTGACTCGTGATCTTCATGACTCACACGATGGGAGGCGGGAGCATCGTCTCTCAGGACGACATTTGAGGTGGTTAAAAAATATTGGGAATCCCCATCAGGTGTCAGAACTGAAGAGGCCTTTTGTTATCCAGGCACCTGTTTATTTGGCATTTTATTCTGCCTCCACAGTCTTCTCCTGAGGTTTTGCAGATATGTGACCACCAACTACGTAACTTTGACCTGTTTGCCATTTTCAGTGTGTGAGAAGCAAGGTAGGCTAGTGTAGGCTCCAGTCACACAGGCCTAAAGTCTGATCTGCAACCACCTGGCAACCAGTGGTCATTGGGGGACAAATGTATATTTCCGACTGTTTTGGCTGTTAGCATACCGCTGCAGTCATAGATTGAATGGAAGCAATAGACTCGTCCACACACACGGAAACTAAAAGTTTTGCCTTTGAAAAAGTTTGCCTTGCACTTTCTTGAGTTGTTAGCAACCATTTGCAGATAAAAATGAAAAACCAGGCAATCTTCTAACAACGCCAACATGCCTTCTTGGGAACTGATTTCACCCAGCAAGAGCCAGAAACCTCCAACAACTACTGCCAACCAGAATAAATGTCTCCTCAGCCAGCGTTTGAATCGCATCCAATATGGCACACAACCCTTAATTCATGTCATGTGAGAAATCTCAATACACGCAGATGTCATTTTTCAAACACAGGTATTGCCCCCTGGTCGCCATTAAATAGAATGCAGATTTCAGGAACTTCAGCGGAGGCAGTGACACTAATGCTTACAGACATTATCCAGTCGAAAGACCAAACAGAGCCTGAACCAAACAACTCCTTTATGATTCGAATGGCCAGCTAATATAGAGCTTAGATAACGTCAAAGGAAAGAAGATGAAACTAATGTTTGTCCAATTACTAACTTTGAACCTTTGCTGGAAGCATGCAAGAGGAACCACATCACAACAGGGGCAAATTTTCATGTAAAGCTAAAAAGCTAATAAAGTTTGAAGATTTAGAAAGTGCAGACATGTAAAAAGAAGAACAAATGATTCAGGCTCTATATGCTAAACACAAATAAACCAGGACCAGCCTCTGAACTTCTCATGTTATGAAGTCATTTTCCCATCATCCATCATTGGGAGTGCCTCTCACTGGGGTGCTCAGCTGATGACCCAATCCGCCATGCCTGCGCCCGTCAAACACCCCCAACAGGAAGAGACGTATCCACCTCTCCAAAGAGGCACATTAACCAGCAGCGCACGTATGAGCGACCCAATTTTATTTTTTCTAATGCGAGCCCTATGCCTGCTTTGCTGTTCTCAACAGGATATGAAAGATGAGGAGATCACAGACGGAGAGGGCCAGAAGCCTGCAGCAAACACAATAGGAGCGATGGTATCGATGACGTACCAGGAAGCTTATTTAGCCGCGCTCGTGCCCAAATTATTATTTCACACGCCGAATGAACAGCAGGGGAGAGAGCAGCGCTGCTGATGTAGCCTCTCGGCTTCCCGAGGAGGGAGTTGGAAACCGAACGATGGCAGCCCACATCATTAGGATGCTGACGGAGATACAGCCTCCATTAGAAGAATCCAATACCAGAGACAGTCAGGGAGTCATTTACACTCCACATAATAGAGCACGTCTCCTCTGACTTTGTAAAACCTTGTTTTAGTCCCTCTACATTTTTCCCTTCCTAAAATTCAGAGAGAGAGATGAGTGGATGTAAAAGTCAAATAATTTCCATCAGCCGTAACACTTACAATAATTTCACTGTAATAACCACAGTGAGTTCTATTTTCATTTATTTTTGACTGCAAATTAAAATCGGAAAAACTATCGGAAAACTAAGCCATTACTTAAGTCCCAAAACATGCAGTTCCTCTGAGGGTCTCTAACAGTGCCTGAGTCCCCACAGGCACACATGTTAAGATGTCCAATCTTACCATAGAAATAAACTTGTTTACAGCCTGATTAAAAAACAACAACCTGTTACTAGTTTCTATGTATAGTTTGCCTGTTAATCAGAGGCAGTGATTTTTTTAATAACGCAGCCTTAAACTTTGCATTATTAGGGCCGTGACTGTTACAATCATCAAAGATTGTGCTCCAATTTTAGTGAATAAGAAAACTTAGTTAGCACTAATTATCAGCCACAGCGTATGGACACAGTTTAGTTTTGATCACTTCTGGCATCAAAACAACTAACATGGTGGATTTAATGCCGAAGCTGACGTTTGTAAGCCGTCAAACACATCAATTCCCTTTGTGGATGACGGAGGAAAGGAAAACTTGAAGCTCATAAACGACTAACCATTATTTCATCATTATCCAATGCATTCTGGGAAATAGGATCCCTCTGTTTTATTATCCAGATGGACTATTAACCTGCAGGAAACAAAAACTGAAGCTTGATTGCAGTTTGAGGTTAACTGGCCAAAATGAAACCAGAAAACAAAACAGCTCCTATACACTGCCTACAAATGGTTTGTTTTAAGTGATCAGCCACGTAATGTCTTTGTTTCAGAAAGAAAAACTTTTCTCATTAGTTAAAATGTATTTATTAGATATTCTGTAAGTCTTAAAAACTCAAGTTGGTGCAAACTTCTTTTTAGGTTCATGAAGATGTTTTCAGCCTGCACAGAGATATGGTTATGTATAAACTTTGTTAAGTATAAACTGAGGAAAAGAAGGACAAAAGAAAACTACGTGCTAACCTATAACCAACACGTGACTGAAATTATAAATAACTACAAACCAAAGCAGAAAGATGACCTAAGTGGGGCGCCAGAAAGGCACCAGCTTTCTGGGAGGAGAGAGAGTGAGGAGCTGCCATCTTGGAACGATATCAGCTCATATAGGCTCCCAAACAAGTGAAGTTCTTTTTTCCTAAAGGTTGGGAGGGGCAGTTAATGAGGACCCGGACAGAAAGAATCAAAACAAATTGATGGATGGATGCATGAATGCTTCACCTTTTATCTGAAAGGCTTCTTTAGTTATCAAAGCTGATGAGGAGTTTGAGATAATGAACATCTAGTGGGGTTGTCATCTTGAGGTGTTGCCAACCTATCAGGGTCACATGGGCCTAATCTAAGGCTGCCATGACCTGGAAGACAGCAAACCCACGGGGACCTGCTGTACATGGCATTTAATAATAAATGGTACCATTCATCATGAGTCATTCATAGTCTTTACCCAAACGTTAACAGTGTGGCCTAAACCTGTAGAGGAGTTTAAAGACCTCCAGAACGTTTCATCTATTCCATGTCAGATTTTTAATGGATTCATTTTATACCTGCGTTAAGAAATACATGAATAAAATGGATGGATCAAATTATCAGATCAAAGTTTAAACACTTGCCTTCCAACAGCTAATAAGTTTCACAGCCCTGCTCTGACTCTGTTAAACACCAAAAGCTCTGATATCAAAGGTCAAGAGCTCCAGTCATTATTCACAGAAATAAAGCGGGTCTGTGTCGGCTTCACGGGGAAATCAATCCTATTAGCGCTCACCGTGAATCATTTCAATTATGTTTCAGTGTCATTCATCCAAAGACAAACACTTTAAAGTCCAGCAAATCCCCACAGAGCTCATAATGAAATACTGAGACAGTTAATGTTTTTGTACCACTTAGCAGAATAAAGACGCTTAAAAAAAACAGACTCCAGTAGAAACATTTCACACATTTTTGGTGGTTTTATCTAAAGTGATAGAAGGAAAATATATTATCTCCTGACACAGGAGCTAACGCAGATAAATTCATTACAAATAGATCAAATTAAGGCTGTAAATAGAGAAAAATACTTGCTATTTGTTTTTAATTTTTTAATATGTCTGTGAGACTTCTGTGTATGGGAGGGTTGGGGTCTTCTACCAATGCCAATTAAAGCCTTTCTTTTTTTACAATAATAGGGTGTGCTGGAGCTCTGTCTGCTGCACCATCTGATGCCTTTGGTATTTGTGGCAAATAAATGATGTGTTTTGGTTAAGAAACTACAGTGTGTGCCCGCTGTGGCACAAAGAAATGAGATATCTGAAAATAAAGCACTCAAAGCGATACATTTATTTAATGTTTGGGGGGTTTTTTGTCAGATTTTTTGCATTAAGAGAAAGGAATAATGTTTCCAGACATATCCTATCTGCTCAGAGGGGTGAGGAGACCTCGTATCCCCCACATTCGGATGGAAAATAACGGAAACTCATCGGACAGGAGGAAGACTTGCTGCTCCACATGGCTCAGGAATTCCAACTGTTCCGGGCCCACCTCGAACCTGTGCGCCACCTCGGGTTTCTGCAGGAGCTCCTCCAGGACGGTGAACAGGTAGCATGACTTCTGGTACCGGTCGACGGGAAACGTGTCAAGCACCGAGCCGTCACGCCCCTGTAAAGGAAAATTAGTTTAACCAAAACTCGAATCTATGAAAGGACCAGTTTCCTGTGTGAGGTTTAAGGTCAGAATTCAGCACAAAACAAGGAGTACTTGTTCCACTCACTTCACTCACTGTTACAGCGATAGAAATCTCATCAACATGAGGGGAGAAACGCGGCAAAAAGATGAACAAGGACAAGAAGAGGGGCAAGAGGAAAGACAAGGATGAGAAGACAGAAGATGATGATGAAGAGGAAGGAGAAGGAGAACATGAAGAACAAGCAGGAGGAGATAATTTTGTATTGTTGATCTTTTTAAGCGGGGGGTTTCCAAACTGGTCTCATGTGATGAAGGTCTACGTAAGGTGCTGGCAGGTCTCAGACATGACAACAGCGAGACGAGCTGTCGCAACTCACCCTCGTTTTTAAGGAGACTTTAAAAAAAACAACAACAAAAAAGTAATTTGAAATATTTTAGCGTCAATTAAGGGCTTATTTTCAAACTGAGATCATTGACTTTGAAGACTTGAAGGATCTGCAGGAGCCCAAATGATTATTAAAAGAACTGGAGCACTGGGGTAATCCCTGAGACGATGGGCTTTTAGATGATGAAACAACAAATACTCGCACCACGAGTTATTTAGCTGCAGATGAAAGATGAGAAACACGAGATCCGACTGTTTTCAGAGCACAAACTGAGTGAAAGGAAATACAACACACAACAGCTCAAATCAAAACGTAATTATTCAAACCAGCAGAAGCTGCCGCATCTCATACCAACTACATCCCAGTGAGAGAGAGAGTGTGTGTGTGTTATTTGCATGTCAAAGTTGGTGTGTGAGGGATATCACAAAGAAAAACAAGCGCCAGATGGCTGTCAGGTATTCCTCCTGGCAAAAACCTTCAGAGAACCGACAGGATGTGACAACAACACCCTCTTAACCCCACACACATACACACGCACACACACACAAACACAAAGGCCCGGACCCCATCAGCATCAGGTCAGCAGCCATTTTTTAAAATCCCGATTCATGTTTTTCTGCCTGAAAGCTCTCCAGCTTCTCCTCTGCTGACACAAAGAGACGAAACATTGAGAGACACACAGATTCACCAAAAACACATAAACTGTCAAAAAATCATTGAAATATTTCAGGGAAATGTGAAATTGTGAACACTTCAAATATGTCATCTTCCACTGTAACAACTGTAAAAATCTAAATCTTTGGGATCTCTGGTCCTCTGGAAGCGCTGATTCTGTGGAGACTACGGATCAGGAACACTTCCAGAAATCACTGAACACAGATGCCATCAAATTTAAAGTGACTTCAACTGTTTGTCAGTGTAAGCATCTGATGCTTTGTGCGTTGTACTGTGAATAAATATTTATATTTTCCAAAGTGTCCCAACATTTTTGGGATCCTGGGTGTATTTTAACTTCCGCTCACGCAGAATACTAGAACTGTGTTTTTGTTGTTGTTCATTACTTGAACTCACTGAATTAAAAATGCCTCTGATAGTCTGACTGGAGAAAGGAAAAAGCCAATTTCACCATCACCAAATAAGATAATATTTAGTCGTTGTTGGGCCTGTCTAGCACAGGCCCACCGCTGGAATGAGACAGTTTAACTACACAGCCAAAAGCATTGAACAGCAAGTAGGCAAAGTTCTTCGTGTTACTCATGCATGAGGGAGACCTGCCTGGAGCCAAGTGTCGTTCCACCCACTTGACCTCCGCCAGACTCTCAGCCAGGTTCCCCATAGCACTCCTGTTATTGTGGTTTACATGAATATGCATTGGTTCATTAACATATAACATCTTACATAGGTACTTGTCTGTGTGTATGTAGGTCTGCGTGTGTGTGTGTGTGTGTGTGTGTGTGTGTGTGTGTGTGTGTGTGTGTGTGGTCAGAGTGTGACCCCATATTATAAATGACTTCCCTAAATCTGGAAGTCCAGCAGTTCATCTAAACAAAAGGCACCTAGCCTAAAACAGATAAGTTTATCCTACCATAAAACAATAAGACAAGAATGTGGGTGTGAATGCCAGAGTGCTCTGGAATGCACACAAAGTCTTTGCAGACAACTAAGGATCACACATCCTATCACTACACAATCGATTATACACCTCTAAGCATATATGGTTAAATATTTCTAAGCATAAATGACAATAAACAATACAAATCTAACAGTCGTGATGAGTTGCTCAATCACTGCGTCACATTTCTGAGATCAGAGCTCCAGAAACACCTGCAGGTACATTTAATCGTTCCACCAACACATTTAAACCCAAGCAGCTACAGCACTTTAACTAACTAACCTTTAACTTGTATAGTTATAAAAATGTCAGTAATTCCTGAAGAGTTCATGAAAAACTTTTGTTGAACTCCTTGAATTAAAGCCAAAAAATTCTTGACTAATTTAAAATCTACTGTGGTGTTGTACAAAGGCAAAGCTACAAAAAATCAGTTAAAATCCTAAAACGTAAGAATTTAAATGTATTAACCTGTTAGCAGTCGGACGTACCGCCCACGGTACATTGGATGGTTTAGGGGACTAATTGGACTGCTAAGGGGTTAACCCTTTCACGCATAGTGGTGACTACAGTGGACAGCTAGTCAAAGACTGTTCTCTTGTATTTGTGTCAGTGTTAATGGTATACTTGCACATAAACCACAACATTGGACAGCGATGTGTCACTCCACACCCTGCCACCCACTGGTCGTTTAATGTAACTATAGATGTATGACATGTTTCATGGTAATGAAAAGAGCTCCCAAAAAGCCAGCTGAAGCTGAATTACAACCGATAAGACACTGTTAATAAACAGATTCAGGGAACACTCGATCGGCTCAGTACAACACAAAGTCAGGGATATCAAACCACTGTTAATCCTTTTCAGCTGCTTTCATCCAAACTGACGTGAAAACAGATGAACAGGAGAGGGAACAACAAACCAACCCTCACTTCTGCAGGTGGTGGTCACAGACCGCTGCATTTTCTTCACTGATTTTTCTTAGTGTCCTCTACGTCACCTTCAGCCTGTTCAGCTTTATGTTAGCACAGGAAGTCCAGCTTATCCATACGTGTCACCTGAAGAAGGTTTGCCAAGTGTCCCGGCACAATCACGGGGGTGTGAAGGAGACACCAGGAGGCACCAGTAGGGATGCGAGCTCCACCGAGGCTCAGGGTGAAATAAAGGATATTTATTATGATCCGTAAATCATGCAAAGCTACTCTAATAGAATCCAAGAGTAACAATACAAAGCTGGAAATGTTTAATGTTTATAGCTCGTTGGAGGGCTCACACATAATGATTATTCAATATGTGCTGTGCTGTTTCCAGACTGCACCACACACATGCAAAGCTCATGCTTATGTAACTGTGCTGTTTATTTAGAGGCATGTCAGTCAGTGTGAGCGTGACAGCAGGTTACAGTCCTGTTAGCTTTGCGTCTGAACCGTGAATTTATGGTGTGCACATACTCACAGCATGTGGTTATATTTGGTGGAACACGAAGAGGCCGCAGATATTCGCACAATCGGCCGTCAGCGGCTGTCAGCAAGATGGAGACGGTTTCATCTGATGTGGTGAACACAGGCGTGAAGGCAGAGACGAGGCTTCGCAGGTCTTTGCTAGAGAGGCGACTCAATCCGCTCTGAGTCCTTCCTCTTTCACGTCGTTGTGCCGCCGACAGGCTTTGGTCTACCATCCGTTTAAAACCAACAAACCGACCAAGTGGTGAAGCTGAGACGAGGGAATGAAAGCGGTTCACACAGAGGGATAAGTGCAGAGAGAATATCATGATTAATTTTTAAAATAACCTCTCGCTTTATACCAGAAAAACAACCAAAGCTCTGCACTGATCTCAGGAGGGCTGTCAACCAGTGTTTCATAATTTGATTATATAATCAGTTAAAAATTCAGCTGTGAAATTAATATTCAATCGTGGGGGGGAAGCAGCTTGCACAACTGCTGTCTGTCTCCTGAGCAGCAAAGTGGAAAACCTGACAGAAATACATGGAGCTCTCTGTTATTTGTATTCAAACATAAAAAGTCCTGCTCATTACCTGCAGATGAGCCGGCCCTTTGTTGTGTTACACCCCTCGAGTGAGAACGTTCTGTTATTGTTTAATCTAAATGCGGCGTTTGATTAGTGAGAGTGGACCAGCACTGGTAGCTAATCACTGAATGCAAACGTCTGTGTTTGGAGCATACTAACAACACCAGGAGAGTCAGAGCATTAAAGACTATTAGTTCAATTCAATTCAATTCAATTTTATTTATATAGCGCCAAATCACAACATAAGTCGCCTCAAGGCGCTTCATAGATACAGAGAAAAAAACCCAACAATCATATGACCCCCTATGAGCAAGCACTTTGGCAACAGTGGGAAGGAAAAACTCCCTTTTAACAGGAAGAAACCTCCGGCAGAACCAGGCTCAGGGAGGGGCGGCCATCTGCTGCGACCGGTTGGGGTGAGAGAAGGAAGACAGGATAAAAGACATGCTGTGGAAGAGAGACAGAGGTTAATAACAGATATGATTTAATGCAGAGAGGTCTGTTAATACATAGTGAGTGAGAAAGGTGACTGGAAAGGAAAAACTCAATGCATCATGGGAATCCCCCGGCAGCCTATGTCTATTGCAGCATAACTAAGGGAGGATTCAGGGTCACCTGGTCCAGCCCTAACTATATGCTTTAGCAAAAAGGTAAGTTTTAAGCCTAATCTTAAAAGTAGAGATAGTGTCTGTCTCCTGAATCCAAACTGGAAGCTGGTTCCATAGAAGAGGGGCCTGAAAACTGAAGGCTCTCCCTCCCATTCTACTTTTAAATACTCTAGGAACAACAAGTAGGCCTGCAGAGCAAGAGCGAAGTGCTCTAATAGGGTGATATGGTACTACAAGGTCATTGAGATAAGATGGGGCCTGATTATTTAAGACCTTGTATGTGAGGAGCAGGATTTTGAATTCATTCTTGATTAACAGGAAGCCAATGAAGGGAAGCCAAAACAGGAGAAATATGCTCTCTCTTTCTAGTCCCTGTCAGTACTCTTGCTGCAGCATTTTGGATTAGCTGAAGGCTTTTCAGTGAGTTTTTTGGACATCCTGATAATAATGAATTACAGTAGTCCAGCCTGGAAGTAATAAATGCATGAACTAGTTTTTCAGCGTCACTCTGAGACAGGATATTTCTAATTTTAGAGATGTTGCGCAAATGGAAGAACGCAGTCTTACATACTTGTTTAATATGTGCATTGAGTTTAATATGTGCATTGAGCACATATTAATTATTACTATTACTAATTAGTGCATCAGCTCGGCCAGCAGATCCATCGCCTGAGTGAAATACAGCAGCTGTGGATGAGAGCAGAGCTCAGGCTTACATGCTGCTTGATTAACTGCTGTTTGATATCGGACACATTCAGCGTCTGATTTCAGATTTTCAGTTCAGTCTAAGGCTACATACGTCGTTGCATTTACCCTCAGACTTACACTCAGGTCATTTTCTCCAGTTTGCATAAAAATGTTATGATAAAAAGTTTGGACACATATATAACGGTGCCTGTGAATTAATCAGTTAAAATTAGAGTAGTAGAAATCTGTTCTATTCTATTCGGGTTAGACCGTCAACTTTTGTTTTTGTGGCACAGCTTGTGATATTTGCTAAGTCAAGCATAAAAGTGAAAATAGCATTTACTTAATTTTTGTGACAAAGAATTTACAAAAAGTATTCTGTTTTATTTGAGTATTAATGTGAAATATAACTATGTACGATTCAAAAATGATCACTACATAGTTTTTGTGCTATAAATTTTTTTGTTTTCTTTTTAACGCTCAACTAAAGGACTTTGAATGTTTGAATGTTTTAATATGCAAAATGTCAATCACACTTCGGGCTTCACATGAAGCCGCTGACTGTAGTTCTGTTATTACCTTCACTGAGTTTATGTAACAAAGATATGACCTATCTTTGTTCACCTCTGTCAGTGCGCCCCAGGGTGGCTGTGGCTACAAAGTGTGAATGTGTGTGTGAATGAGTGGATGAGTGGTTGTGTAAAGCGCTTTGGGGTCCTTAGGGACTAGAAAAGCGCTATACAAATACAGGCCATTTACCATTTACTCTCTTGTAATTAGCACAGGCCTAAAAACAACCAGACCTAATCACTGTTGATGAAGTCCAGTTATTTTCATTACTACCCATCACTGGTTCAGCTAACCGACTTGCGGTTTAATTGATAGAAATCTAACATGACAAACCGGCCAGAGGACACACAGAGGGGCTGCTAAACTGTTCGCGAGTTCAATCAGTCAACTTATTGAGGAACTGGGGAAACATTTCAGTTCTAACAAGGTCACCAAAAAAACAAAGTCAATAATTTAATGGCTCTTATATTATGACTCATCAATATCAGTGAAATCCATCAGCCTAAAAGAAATACTGCAGGTGATACAAAACCAATCAATTCGAACAAACCGACAAGGAATTCGTGGTCTCTGGGTCCTCCTTCAGGAAAGTCACAATCTCATTTGTGGGCTTTGGACTGTTGATAAGAGGAAAACAATAAAACCCAACTTTTACTTTTGAAATATGTGCAACCTGAATGGTTTATTGTCTGCAGACCTGTGCGTCCACCAGATTTAAACCTCTGTAAAGGAGAATATACCACGACTTTCATTTGACAACAACAAAGCAACGTCAAGGAGGTCGAGCAGCTTTATGCCCGTGAGGTTGGCGAGATATTCCAT